GAGGACCTGATGCCGGGGGCTTAAGTGGAGAGGAAATGTTTTGAGAATGATGAGGGCAATGAATGTACAAATGTGCTTTACACAATTGATGTATGTATAGATTGTGATAAGAGTTGTATGAGCCCCTAATAAAATGATTTTTTTTTAAAGTAACAAATGACCTCTAACAGAACAACCCACGCCTTTTCCTGGCCCTCCAGAAGCCTCCAGCACTGCTGACATCCCTGCTAGAATTGGCCTCACGTATTAAGGCCCTTGATACAATTTCAACCACTCCATGAGCAGCTTTCCAATTATGAATGTCTACTTGTCCTCCTCCCATCCTCTAAAGGCAGGTCTGCCTTTCTCTGTCTGCCACCTTGTCATTTCAGATACATCCAGGGCTGCATTTACATCTCTCTATGTGGGATTTCCTCTAAGCCTCTGTGAAAGAGCGCTCTCAAACGGGACCTAATGAAAATGGTGGACACAAGTCTGAATTAGATGTCATTTTGTCCTAAGCTCCTGTTTCTGCTTTTCAGAGTACCGTATATACTTGACTATAAGCCGAGTTTTTCAGGACATTTTTAAATGCAGTTTTTGTGGTAAAATTAGGTGCCTCGGCTGATATTCGTGTTGGCTTATACTCAAGTATATATGGTATGTGGCCTATGACCACACTTTTGACCAAGATAACTTGTTTTGCAACGTTCTGAGATGGTCTACCAGAACACTACAGGAAACAGAAAGGACCGACTCTAGAACACAGAAATTCTGGCTAAAGTGGAGACCGAGAAAACATCTTGATAAATGACTCTTAAGAGACTATGTTGAATGTCACCTAATCAAATGTGCCCTTATACTCTTCCCAATTCTGTACAAAGTTCTGTAAAACTGAATACAAAAGATGTATTCTAATGCTCCCTCTTGGCAACACCATTTAACACTTTCATTTTGATAGCTGCCACTTCATAAATTTTCAAATATTGATAAAACCCTTCTTTAACGTTATAGGACTTTTCTCCCGTGTCAAAAGCAGGACTGGAGCAACCAGCCTAAGACTTGGAAGGCTTTCTTTCTCCATGTCCACGAGTAGACTTGGAGGCCGTCTGGTGAGCCCTCGTGGATCTTGAGCTCAGTCTTACAAAGTTGCAGCTCAGTTCTATTGTATTCAGATTTTCTTTCTGTCTTCTTTTGCATGGCCCTGAGTTGTGCTGAATCTACACATTTACAGAAGTTGCTACGGATCTTCTGCCCCACGCCCAAGGCCTCAGTGTCATGTTTCCATTTAGAACTCTGGCATGCCATGACCAAAATTGTTGGTCTCACTGGTGGCCACTTTGGGATTCTTTTTCAATTGTATGAATTAACTATTTGAATTCATTTGAATGAACAGTTATCTGCTTTTATTTCTAAGTTTCATTAGCGATCATGATTGGCCAAGTATAGAAATAGAATCCACCCCATCTCCTATCTCTGCTTCACAAACTTAAGTGAACAGAGGACATACCAATAAACACCTGAATGAAGCAGAGTCTTAGAACCCAGGGATGGAGATCTCAGGTTTACTGTGATACAATTCAGAGAAGGAAATTAAAGAGAAATAGATGGAACATAATAATAGAATCTGGGCAAAGGGAAAGAAAATCAAGCATTATGCTGAAGAGAAACAGCTAAAAGGAGCATTTCTTCCAATATTTTTATTGCTTATAATAAAAAGTAAATTCAGCTGATTTTAGCAGATTATTGGGACTCAAAAACTGTCTGCCAGTAGTACAACCCAAATTAAAAATTAATATGAAAATTGCCATTTTACTAACTTACATCATCTACCATTTTAACAAAACACTTTGCTCATAAAATGATTTGAAATGGCAAAAAAAAAATCACATCCAAGAGGACTCCAGGACTGTAGGATCAAGTAGAAATAAATTAATATGGCTATTTGAATGTTAGCACTAAGATGTGACTGCATTGTTTCATAACAGAGAACACAGTTTCTAAAAGTTTATTAAAATTATTTTCAGGATGTACTAATACCCAAACTAACACTGATGTGTAAGCGGAGATCAATGGTCATGTTATCTAATTAATAAGCAACAGACAGACAGAGTGGACACTCCATGACCTTGACAATGGCTTACTTTGACGTGGCTCTGGGCACCTAGGTTGTAGACCTCGGTGGGCTTTACTTCATTGATGATCTTCACAAGGCAGGTGCTGTCAGTGAGGTCACCGTAGTGCAACTTCATGTCTTTAAAATGCAGAAAAACACCATGAGGTGGAGGAAAACAGTGTAAATCCTACTTATAAAGCATCTAAATTGGAAATGGACATTTGGAAAGTTTGGAAGCCAAGATCACATCTGAACTGTTATATTTGGTGGAGCAGTAGAGTACATGTCTGTAAAGGATTTGTAGTGATGAGTTCTGATAACCTTTTATTATAAAATCACAAAACCATATGCTGGACAATGTTTTCAAGGACTTAAAAAATTCATAGAAAAGGAGAATTGAAATGGACATTTTACCATGAACTTTCACGGAACTTACATATAATATGGTTCCTATGTGACTGCAAAATGGGTTTATGAGAACGAGCTTAAGAATTCAAACAAACGAAACCTGGTAACAACGTGTGTACCTCTGGCGGAAACAGTGATAACAGTGATGATAGCTCAGTGTTTTATGCAATACTGCTATATAAATATCAAGACTTAAGTCTATGAAATGCCCCATGGAAGTCACATAATTCATTACAGGACAACTAATCTACCACAACTCATCCATCTTTCTTCAGTAGAATTGAGTGGGCTCAAACCATCAACCTGTCAGTTCTCAGCCAAGCAATTAACCATTATGCTACCTGGGCTTCTTAAACTGCTCAACTACATAAAGGCAATTTTATGAACAAAAATAACAAACAATTACAAATACTGCCAATGTTTTTTTCAAGCAATATGAACGAAGTGTTGATGGCCATTTGTTTTTCAACCTATTGTCACAAATTACTTTTGAAATTAATTAAATATGCAAGTATTGCTTGATTTGATAGAATGAATTTATAAAACCATGGAGTGCTCTACCAACATGAGGAAACAGGGTTCAAAAGCATTTCCTCTCTTGGATTTTTAGAAGCACCTAACCACCATCCTAAAACCAACCTGGATTAAGATGATGCTAGGGCCAAGGGGCAGCAAGAAATGGATGACTTGCAAAGTCTATAGATAATTATCAGTACAGGTAATCATGAGTAAATAACAGTGAATTGACAGGATCTGTAGCGAAAAATAAAATGACACCTAACGAATTATTCATAATATAGCACAAAGTTATATAATAGGATTCGAGAAGGGGGACAAAAGACTTACTTCCTTCAGTATGAGCCTGGGGATTCTTATAAAGATGCTCAATTCGGCCTGTATTGAATGAACTGGATCGCCGGACAATTCCATGCACCTGAGGTTCATGGTGTGTAAAGAGAAAAGTACATTGTAAGTGTGTGATGTAGTACACAATTCTGGAGTTCTTCTGCTCATGTTTAGCCTTATGAAAAAAATTCAAAAACATATCCTTCTTTTATTGAGGAAAACATTATTTCCAGATTAAAAGAAATTGTCCCATGGTTTAGTTTCCAACACCCCCAATCACCACTTGTCTACCACCAGAACCCTCCATCTTCGTCCATAGTGTTTTGACTGGCAAGGGCAACAAAGTAATTAGGAAATGATGTGAGTTCAGAATTAATGCTGACTTCAAAGACACTCAGATGTCTCCTTTTGCAACCACAAACCCTGAGGCTGTGTCGGTCACAACAACTTGCTGCCAGCTTCACGTGCAGCATGAGCCATGGGGCACTGGTGCCAACACATCTTTTCCAGGGTTCCCCAAACTCCCGCTTCTCAAATCTATTCTAGATATGTCTGCAGCTGCAGCTGCTTGTAGGTAGCATGTGGAAAAGCTAGAAAGCTAAATAGCAGGGTAGGGATAAGATTCATGTACTGTCTGATTTAAGGCATTAAAAAAATTCAAGTGAAGAGGAGTTTTTCTTTTTCTTTTAAATGTTTACCTTTGGCTTACCCGTGCAAAGGGAGAGAGAAAAGGCAGTTGAAACAAGAATGTGTACCTGTCAGACATTGAAGAAAAGACTGTTTGTGTCTGATACATAAGTGAAATTGTTCAAGACCCAATCCTACTTCCTCTTGGTGTCAGGACTGCCAAGGTTAATAGTGGCTCTGTCACCAGATGTACAAGTTCCCGTTCCATGGATGGTAGTTTTCATCCTTAACTTATTTTAGAATGTTTCTTCTAATATTCAGTGGATTCATCTGTAGCTGAATACTCTCTTATATTTTAACTAAATAATTTTCCATATATTTCAAACTATACTTAATTCTTGGCCTGACTCAAATATTCCGAATGCAAGGGGGAAATTATAAGCATGTAAGGCCTTCTTTTAAACAGAAATAAATGTCATCATCAATTTATATGGCAAACATGAGAAATTACTTTATGCAAAGGATACAACACACTCACATTTAAACTATAATTAATAATTCTGTTAGGTAAGCTGCTCGAGACAAAAAGAAAAACATCCATTGACACTGTTTTCCAAAAGAACTAAGCTGAAGAAAATCTGATAAATAAGAAAATATTTTAATAAGGGATCATCACTAATTTAACACTTTAGGAATCAAACATTAAAATTTAGAAATATTACATAGAGCTCGGCTACAGATATGTATTTATTGAGAAACGGAGAAAATAAATATTTAGGATAAATAAGCCTAAATAAGCTTACACCTTATTCTACTTCATGGTCTCCAATTTTCCAAGTTGCCATTTAATGCAATTGTAAATATGAACAGCTCTGTAAGTTAAATAAATTTTGTTTCATAAAAAGTAAGATGATATGCATATTTACGTATAACAAAATTAGTGTTTACCACAAAATTTATTTCTGAAATATAGATTTCACAAATATAAGTAGATTTCTAGTTCATTGGATAGAAAAATTTGCTACATTAAAAAATCGAGATTTTTAACTTAGGTGATAAAAATAGTAACAATTGGATCCATGCTATCTTCTTTTGACTACCATATTCCAAATAACTCAAATATTCCAACAACCCAAAACATAGAGAAATGCCTATGCAAATATATTGCACATAAACACAAAAGGTTCTGGTACAATTACTAAATTATCTCAATGGATTCAGCATAAAAATCAAACACTGTAAAGTTAGAACAAATATAACATAGGATTTCACTGTCATATTGATAACTAAAAGCCTTAGAAGCTAATGTTTTCATTGATGTTGTAGTTTAATTCAAAAAATAAAAAGTATACTTTAATTTCCTTTACTCCCAATATTTGGTATGTGTATACAAGGAAAAGAAAAACCTGCCAAATACTTAATCTATGACAGCAAGTATTATTCTAAGAACTAATGAAAGGCGGGTCTGTCTGCCTGAGACAGGTAAAATACAAACTTTTAGACAAGCCAAATGTATGCAAACTGGATAATCTAGTTAAGAATTTGAGATTAGCAGCCTTCTCTTTACAGAAAAAGAAGGATGTAGGGATTTTAAAATTTGTTTTTATAAAGATCTTTGGAAAGCTGTGAGAAATTACAAATTTGACTTAATATAAACACAATCAAAATATTAATCAAATAAAACAGTATCCTGAAGAATTGAGGTCTTAATATATAGAAGCGTGTGTTTTGACAAACAAATTTCATGTTTCATTAACTAGGGGATAAGAAGGAAAGTTCTCCAATGTCAAAACAGCATTGTTTGCCTGCGAAAGCAAGAGTTAGATTAGGCTTGAACAGGGAAATGCTTTATTCCGAAAGAATGGAAAATCACCACCATTGGATTTCAATTCTACAGTGTCCAGAATCTTAGCAGCAAGAGTGTCCCTCACCACTGGTGGAAAACATAGCTTATTTGAGCGATTTCAATAGTTAACATTTACATGGCAGTGTCCACATGCCAGGTGGGCACAGAGGAGGGGAGATAAACCAAAATGAAACTCACTGCCACCCAGTAAATGTCCACTCATAGTGACCCTACAGGACAGAGTAGAACTGCTCCCTGTGTTTCTGAGACTGTCACTCGATGGGCGCAGAAAGCCCCCTCTTTCTCCTGAGGAGAAGCTGGTGGTTTCAAACTGCTGACCATGCAGTTAGCAGCCCAACATGTAATCACCACACCACCAGGGTTCCAATATAAATACCCTTTATGTAAGGGTCAAAAAGTAGTGCAAAAAACCCCTAATAGAAATCTTTATTGAGCAAAAAATATCAAAATACGAAGCTACTGATTCTCTGGATACCTTCCATCTAGCTCTATACACTTCTGAAGATGGGGTTTTCCTCACTCTAACCCTCTCCTGAAGAATGTCGTGCTCTTCAACTTACCCACAACAAAAGGACAGTCTGGGCCTCCATCCGTATGGGATGCCAATTATGTCCTTTGCAATAGTGAAACGAAGTTCAGGGATCAAAAAGATGTCTGAAGGGGTAAGAACAGGGATGTGGGATGGATGGGCTAAGGTTTCCCAATGAAATTCTCCAAGGACATCCCTTGGTACCCTGAAAGAAGGAGCTGGTGCATTGTCTTAAGGGGGACAACAAAAAACAAACAAACAAACAAACAAACAAACAAAAAACTCCTTGAACTGTCCTGGACTTTTTCTCACCAACACAGCTTTCAATTTTCTAAAACCATCTTTCTAATACGCCCCTGTGGGTGTCCTGCATTCTTTGTGAAAAGCCTTTCAAGATTACTCCTCGGACACCCTCAAAAACAGTTGATGTAACATGATGAGGACTGAACAGGTCCAGTATACAATTAAATGACTCCAGCAGATCACCTTGGGAAGCCACTGTTTTCAGAGGACCTTTTTTTTGGTTTGTTTTATTGGCATGTAATTCACACATCATACAATAGCTCAATTATTTCAGGATTTATACAATCATCACCACAATCCGTTTTGCAACATTTTCTTCATTTGTGTACTCATCTTTATTGTCCTCATTTCCACCCCCAAACGCCCCTGGCATATACTCAAGGAAACATTTATCCAGTTAATATCTCTATATATTTACCTACCCTGGATCCAGATACAGAAAAACATTTTTAAAAATAATTTTATTGGGGGCTCGAACAACTCTTATCACAATCCATACATCAATTGAATCAGGCATGTTTGCACATATGCTTCCCTCATTCTTTTCTAGACATTTACTTTCTAATGAGCACTTGGTATCAGCTTCCCCACCACCCTCATAACCCTCGTGTGTATGATATGTGTATCTTATTAGTTCTCTTTCTCTCGAGAAGCCTAAGACATCCCGTGTGCCTCTTTCTTTTCTGGGAAGAACATTTCTCTCCCCATCAAGCTTGCCCACAGCACTTTTAGCTCATCTTTTATTTATTTTATTTACTTTTAGCTCATCTTCATAGTATTTATTTTGCCAGCCTTAAACTTCATTGCTCAAAAGTATATTGTTACTTGGTTTTGAGCTAGTAAAACTCCTTAAACAAGTATAAAGATGAAATTCAAAATAACTAAATAACTGCTTATAGAATCCAGGCCCACAAAACTAAGATGTCTTAAGACATCTTAGTCATCAGCCACCTGATTCCTGTTGGAACCTTTTGTTGCTGTGATTCTCAAACTGTCCTACCACGCGAGCAGCATCAACAACTGGGAACTTGCTAGAAAGGCCAAGTCTCCGGTCTTAGTCAAGATTTATCAATCTACAAGTTTGCCTTCACCTGGACATTAGGTGATTCTGATGTATACCAAAGGCCGAGAAGCACTGAGTTAGAAAAGGTTTCTATGCATTTGAAGCTTCCCCTTCTCAGGCAACTGCAAACAACTTACTGGGTCTGTCCTTGGACTCATGGTTTATGCAGCCACGATAACTCTGGAAACTTTCCAATGCAGCCTCTTTTAAGAATCACTCTCACATTTACTTTGATCTGAGCACAAACAGATGATGTCTGTGCTACCATATCCCTCTCCATAGCTTATTCTCAAACTATATCAACGGACCAGAACTTACCCATGTTGAATATACACAGATAAACCCTTTGTCCCTCATACCAACTCAACAACACGCACATTTCCTCGATACCACGCTGAGGCACTGCTGTTGCTCTGCTTTGTTTGGGGTACTACACTGTTAACCTGCATTGTTTATCATGTCTCTTTCCTTCTCTGCATTCATGAATCTCATGCCTATGCCAGATTCACTCACTCCATTATCTGTGTGTGGCCAAGTAGGCCTTCTGTTTTTCTCTATCAAAATCAAATGTGTTCTCATCATGTCAAATGCCAGTGTAATGGAAACACTAGCATTTCATGAAGCAGTCCTAGGCTCTCATTACATTTATTTCTCAACCCCTCATCCAGAGAAGCACATTTCTACATGTCCCCTGAAGCC